TGCTCCTGAATAACCTAGGAGAGGGCCTCAAGCAAAATGCAAAAGCATGCTAGCATATTTTTGAAAGCTATTATCTTTATTATATATTTTTCTTGGAGCTGCCAACCCTTTTGTTCATTTCATATGACCTTTCTATATGCCAGATTATTTCCTGGAAGGTCAAATTTATCTCTATTTTGGAGACACCAAGAGGAGTCTAATAAGCATCATTACTTTGAATTTCAAACTTTGAGACCAACACCACACAATAGAATGAAATAAATGTGCCATTAGAATGCAATCCCATAAATCACATAAAATATGGAGGGAAATCTTGTATTACCTTGAGAGACCTAACAGCTTAACTCTTTGTAGCCTGTTGAACTTCTAAGACCTTTTAAATAAAAAACTCTCAAAGTCTAAAGGTCCAGCTTCCGCCTTCTATATCTAAGAGACAAGAGGCAACTGAAATCAGCTCCACCTGAACTGATATTGATGACTAATGTGTGCAACCCAAAGCTTAGGACAATTATTTAGAATAGAGATTTTCAAATGGGGGTGATTCCTCACCTCATGCTGAGTTAATTCCTGGACACAATTTGGTTGTCACACTGGCCAGGTGCTACTTGCCTCTATTGGGAAAGGCCAGAGATGCTACTGAAAACCCTATAATCAGAGTATAGCTTTCCCACCACACCCCCGACAAAGAGCTTCTTTCCTCTAAATGTCAGTATCACGGAAGTTGCCATGCCAAATAACAGAAAATTCTTTTGGCTCTGGACACTTCTTGTCAAATCATTATTTCCTTCTTGGTCCAAGTGTTGTCTTTCCTGTACTCCAGCAGCTTCCTAACTGGTATTTTTGCTTGTGTTTCAGTCTCCGACACTGATTTTTTTTTAACACAATTTTTAAATGTAAAGCTTTCTAGGACACCCTTAGCAAAAGTGTTTAGAAACTGGGGGCATTCCCAGTAACTTCCGCTCAGCAGTGTGGCCTGACAGTTCAGTGCACAGATCAGCAAAGCAGTGCTGGGCCCACCAGGGCCACCTCAGCAAGTGTTGGGATGTGGGGAGAAGCACATGGTGCTGGAGACCCAACCCTGTATGTTTGCATGCAAGGCATGTACTCTAGCCCTTTGAGCTATTTCCTGGCTTTTAAATCAAAGCTTTTTATTTTTTATTACTTTTTTGTTTTTTGGGGTCGCACCCGGCGATGCTCAGGGGTTACTCCTGATTCATGCACTCAGGAATTACTCCTGGAGGTGCTCAAGGGACCATATGAGATGCTGGGAATTGAACCCAGATCTGCCGTGTGCAAGGCAAATGCCCCACCTGCTGTGCTATCGCTCCAGCCCCAAAGCTTTTTATTTACATACAGTTAAATTCATATATCCATTGTGTCTCCTGCCCTCACACCTGACTGTCCTCGCCGGGGCCCCTTGGAGGGGAGCGGGTTGAGCTTTCCTCCCCGCCCCGACCAGGGCTCCGGCAGCCAAAGACCTCCAGGACCAGCCACCACCATGCTGAGACCACTCTCCGCACACATGAAGATACTGGCAGAGGGACAAAGTCACGCGGGTTCCGGGGCCGAGATCTCCAAGCCTACTCAGATTTGGGCCAAGCATCCTCCACCCAGATCCTCCAAATTCCAGTAGGTGGGGGTCACACCCACCAACTGGCCCCCTGGCGCCATGTAATCCCATCAACGGCCAAGACTCAGAGACTATAAAAACCAGATCCCGGAACCGGACGGCTGCATTCGCGGCCGAGCAACATCTTATTATGACATCTTATTATCTCATTCCTACTTTGAACAAACTGGCAGGCTACCAAATGTAGCCTGCCCACACAGCAGAGTCTGGCAAACTCCCCGTGGCGTACCCAATATGCCAAATACCAGTAACAATGATGGGTCTCATTCTCCTAAAGAGCCTTGAATATAATCTCAGGGCTAGGATGAAGGAGACGTTACTGGGGCCTGCTCGAGGCAGTCGACAAATAACAGGATGATTTGTGATTTTGTGATTTTGTGATCCATTGTGCTGATCAGTGAATTAGTTTCCTTTTTTTTTTTGTTTTTTTAATTTTGAAGGGCCTCCAAGTGCTTCTTAACCAGCTGGTTGAATGCTAGGGCCCAAGGATGCGTGCTGCTGGAACCACGCAGCGCAGGCGACCACCAGGGCTACCCTTGGCAGTGCTCAGTGGCCTCCAGGGCCACACCCAGACATGCCTGGGGTGTGGGAATCATGTAGTGCTTGGATGGAATTTGGGTCTCCTGTACTTTCTTCCACTTCCTGTTCTGTGAGTTTTAACAAATGTAAGGAAGTCCTAAACCATCACCACACAATCAGGGTAGAAAAAGATTGCTCAATGTTCAAGGTCCTAATCTGAGAGTTGCCAGTGATTCACAGCCCGGAGGTTCTCAAAGTCTTTTCATTGCTCCTGTGGGAGTGGCCCGCACCTCTCTCAGGTATGTGCCTGAGGCCATCTGATTCCATCTCTCCTCTTCAGGATTACCCTCATCCTCTCAGCCTCCTGGGGCCTCCTCCCCTTCCCTTCTCTCTTTCCTTCTCTCCTGAAAGATGGGGACTACATGATTTGCCCACCCCAGGCATCTCTAGGTGTGGCCCTGGAGGCCACTGAGGACTGCCAACGGTAGGCCTGGTGGTCACCTGCGCTGCGTGGCCCCAGCAGCACTGCATCCTTGGGCCCTAGCATTCAACTGTTTGACCAAGCTGGTCAACTCTCTTGGGAGTTCACCATGCTCATTGCTGTGCAGTTCGGTGCAACTGAGCCTTTTTGAGTGAAGAGAGAAGAAAAAGGGAAGAGAACAATTGAAATTCCCCTTTCAATTTGTGTACAACAGGGACCTCTTCTCCAATGTGTTCTTTGTGGAAAGAGCTGTTTCCTCTCAGAGGTCTAGAGGCCTGTGTTCTTTTGAGGCAGTGACAAGGTCAGTGTGATTGGTGTTGCCCTCAAGGCAAGGCAATGGAGGGAAAGGGGGTCAACTGCTTTCCACACTATCGAATTCTGGGCCCCCTTTGTCCCAAGTCCTGGCTAGAAGGAAGGGGTTCTCTTGAAGTTTTCACGGTCTTTTGCTTCCCTGATTTGCCGCTTTTCACATCAAAATCAGGCAAAAGAGGAGGGAAAAAAAATTAGAAAACTCTCCCACACTATACTATTCTTTCTTCAAACTTGGACTTTCTTTAAACTAGGATGGTGGGAATGATTCTGCTAAAATGCATAATGACCAGAGAGTGATTTCAGAGGTAGACAGAACACAGGCCTGCGTGAGCAAGGCTCTGGGTTCAAACCTGGCATGTGACAAACAATACCTCCCTGGTATAGGTAGGAGGGAGCAACACCCCAGAGAAAAAGTTTTAATAATTCAGTCCAATACTGACAAAAAATGATGATAGATGAAGCATGTTCTGAAATTTCTGTTCCTTTGATTCCTTAGCTCATTCAGAAGATATTCATTGAGCAACTGTTTGAACCAGCATCTTATTATCAGTTGGGAATAAGTTTTAAACATCTTGAGAACCTATCCAAAAGCAGGATCTTTATCTTCCTTATTCTTTCTCCCTTACTTATTCTTTTTCCTTATTCTATTCATTTTTGAAAAGAAAAATTTACATGGTTCAAAATGACACACAAACACACACACACACACACACACACATCCTCCTTTGCATTCTTGTCCTTCTAGTTAATCCATTTTCCCCTGTCCAAAAGCAATTGTTGTGGCCCCAAGCAATAGTACAACAGGTAGAGCCCTTGTCTGGCACATAGCCAACCCACCAGGAATAATTCCTGAGTTCAGAGCCAGGAGTAATTCCTGAGTACTGTCAAGTGTAACCTCAAACAAACAAACAAAAAATTAAACAACTAAAGCAATTGATGTTACCAGATTTTGTTCTCTATCTTCAGTTTTTATTTATTGTTTGTTTTTGACCACATCCAGCAATGCTCAGCAATTAATCCTAGTGGTGCTTCAGGGACCATATGTGGTACTTGGATCAAACCAGGGCTGGCTGCGTACAAGGCAAATGCCTTAACTCCTTTACTAACATTCCAGACCTCTACTTTAAGTTTTACAGGATAAAAATATAAGAACTGCATTGCTCTAATAAATTCCAAATTACTTTTCTCTCTTGCTGATAGGTCTTTTCAATGACTTCAATTCAGACCTTGAAAAACCTTTTCAAGGCTGCATAGTATTGCAGTACATGGAAATCACAGAATAATTCTAATTGTCTATTTATTAAATTCAAAGTTGTTTGTCATCTTTTTATATAATAAACAACAGTATGATGTTTCATCTGCAATTATTATGTTTTCCATGTTTTGGATTATGTTTGTATAAAAAAATTCCTTCCATTCTTATAGATTGATTCAAAGGGTAGACACATTCCTCATTGCTATATAAGACAGGCAACTTTTTTTCTTGAATATACTTTTATGAATTCTTGGCTTCAAATTATTTTCTTCTAAAGCACATTCTCACTGTCTTCAAAAGCAGACTAGCTCTAATGAGTCAGTTCCTCCTACAGAAATTTGCTAATAATGCGTTATTAGACAATGGCTTGGGTGAGCACTCAGCTAAACATCAATCATAACTCAATCATACATTTGCAGGGAAGTGCTATGGAGAAAAAGAAATATATTAGCCATGTCGTGGAAGGCAGTGGGGTTTGAGACAGCGAAGAAAGAGAAATGTGCCTATAAATTGAGGGAGATCCAATTTGGAAGGCCGACTGCAGACAGGGCTTGCATTTATCATTGAGATCATCCTATCACCGTGAAGTCGCTCTCAGAGGTTGAGAAATACCAAGAATGGGGTAAGTTTTGAGTGCATTTTGGAGCTATTCCCCACTGAGTGCCCTATTCCCCCACCCCTTCCTTCACACCCTGAGATGACCCCGCCCCTCCCCCTAAAAACCGGTGGGAGCTCGCGTTCTGGTTGATTTTGGGCCCCGCCACCTGCCGTCCGCCGTCACGTGCCGGCCCGCGGCGGCCGCGTCGGCTGGTGGGCGTGGCTCTGCCGGTCGCCGGGGCAGGAAGGGAGGCGGCCGTAGTGCCATTCTTAAAGGGGACCCGTGCGAAGGCGAGAGGCTGCTGACGGCCGGAAGGAAAATGGTGAGCTGCCGCGGGGGAGGGTGGGGGCCAGAGGGCCGGGCCAGCCGGCCGGGCTTTCCTGTTTGCCGGAGCCCGTCGTCTCGGCGGGTCCTACCCGGCTGACGGCTGGGCGCCCCCCCACGGCCGCGCCCCGCCGCCGGGCTGCACCCTCTTGCGCTCCCGAGGCCGGCCCGCTCGCCGGTCCCCTGGCTGGGTAGAGGCTTCCAGATCCTGAACCGATGGGTGTCCGAGGAGCCTCAGAGATCGGGCCCCCAACGGAGGCCTCCCCAGACGCCAGCCTCGCTGCCCGCGGCCCTGCTAGCCCCGAGGACCCGGTGCCGATGGGCGATTGCCGGGAGCCCTCGGCTTGCCCTGGGGGCTTCCTCTGTGTCCCGGGTGTCCCCAAGGCTTTCAGAACCTCGTCTCGTTGACTTCGAGTTGAGGGAATCGGGGACCTTTTTTGCCCAAGGCTTTGGTGCTTGGCTGGCTGCACAGTGACTGAGATTCGAAAAGCTTTTGGGTTTTGCGCTTTCGGGGTTGGGGGTGGCGGGGGGTGGGTGGGCTGTGGCTTCCATTCTTGCAAGGCTTGAGTACCCCAGGAGCAAAACTAAACTGGAGGAATAAATGAATTAATTGTCTGCCAGGATCTTTTCGATTCTTTTTACCGTTTCCCCCCCTCCCCCTAATGCTCATTTCTTTCATTAGAAATAAAACAAGCAGTATCCTTCAGTGTCCCAGTCTCAGACCCTCTGCCGCTCGTGGCTGAGCTTGCGAACGGACCTAGAGCTGGTCGCTGACTCAGTTCTCTCTCTCTCTCCCCCCTCCCGACCTTTCAGCTGCGCGCCCGGGTCCTGACCGCTCACTTACCCCGTAAGCACTTAAACGCTCGTGCTTACCCCGGGGCGGGGGGGAGGGGGGGGCTTCTGATTCTCGAACTCTCCAGTCTTCCTCCTGCTTCTGTTGCTCTGTCTGCGTCCTAAGCACTCACCCCCTTCCCTGGGCAAGCACACGCCGCAAGCCTAACCGTACCCCGTTCATGGTCTCTCTCCATCCTTTCTCACTGGCGCTCGGGGCTTTAGTTAGCACTGCCCATCCGCAGGCTTTGAGGTCCAGTCCAGATCGAACTATCTCTTCCGCTTCTTGGCTAACAACCCCTCCCCCCCCCCCCCCGCCCCCAGCCCAGGGAAGCTTTTCACCTCCTAACGCTGCGGCTCAGGAGCTCTTCCCCCTCAAACCCGGTCTTTAGTGTGTGTTAACAGAGCCAGGCAGCACTGTTCCCCTCTGTTGTTCAAGTGGGAAGCCTAGCTGTTATCTTCACATCTCATTTTCCTAACGCACCTGGCCCCGACAGTTCCCCATTTTCGCTGGTAGTGAAGATAGTGGACTTAGAGAGAGGTCTGGTTGGCTGGGTTTGAATCCTGGCTCCAGAGTTGCATAACTTTGGGGGAAGAAACTTAATCTCTCTTAAGACTTTTTCTTGCAAATGGAAATAATGACCACTCCTTTGGGATTTTTTTTTTTAAGTTGGGCGGGAGATCCATGTAAAGGATATAGCCCAGCGGTTTTTCCTGGTGTTTAATACGTGCTATTATTAGCAGTCTTCACCTACCTCGTTTTCTTTTCTTCAACCTGATATTCTTTACGTTTCTCACCTGAGCCACTTGCCAGTTAGCTAGTCTTGCTCTTTCATCCCAACTCTGCCTGTTTTCTCCGAGCACATTTGATCATGTGTCCTGTGAGCGCCCTGCTTGAAATTCCCTACTCAGGAGACCAAAATCGCTAAGGCAACACACTCTAGTCCAGATCATTCTCTATGCCTGAGTCACAGTGACCTCTCACTATCTTGGATGTGTCATGCACACTTTAATCAAAGGGTCATTTCACATAGTTTTCGCCCTTCAGATGTGCTCTTCAAAGACCTGTAATCTTGCATTCTTCAGTAGTCATACAGTCTCCTGCTATCATGTGTGTCTCCTTCCTAGCTCTTCTTGTGAACACAAGTGTACTGTCTTTTTTAAAATTTTTTGCTTGATCTGTTGGACTCAAGTCACACACCCATTGGTGCTCAGGACTTACTCCTAGCTCTGTCCTAAGGGATCATTCTTGGTGGGGCTTTGGAGACTATAGGATGCCAGGATAGAACCCAGGTCAGCTTCGTGAAAGACAGTCTCCTACCTACCTGCTGTGCTATTACTGCAACTGGACATAAGTCTTTCCTAACTAGACTGTAACGTAAACACCTTGAAGACATGCCTTCATTCTATTTATTTTACATGATTGTATTCCTGGCACTTAAGACAGTTTTGACACTCCTTAAATATTTAAACCAATGAATGAAGATGACCTCAGCTCTCTCCTTTGTGTCTTAACATTTACAGAGTTGTTTTTAAGGTTTTATGGTCATTCTTAAATCCTTCTACCAACTGAGCCTGAGTCCATTTTCTTATAAGTAGTTTTGGCCTTCTTTTGGTATTGGGAGGGATGAAAATGCAGAAAACTTTGCTATCTGAGTTTAATCACAGCATGTTTCTCACTTAGTTTCTTAATGCTCGGAATCTCAGTGTTGCTCAAGAAGTTCTGGATATCAGAGCTAGAAAATAAGAACTTTGTGATAAGTTGGCATTGCCCAAATGCCCAAATAGTAGTTCATAGTTTCATTAATGAATTCTACTTTTGATTGGACAGAGAATGGAAGTACTAGTATTCTGATTTCTATATATTTTTTGAAAGATGAAAAAAAAATGGACCATGGTTTAATACTTCTGGAAACACTAACTTGGCATCTCACTCTCTTTTTAAAAATAAATGTTTTTGTTTTGTTTTTGTATTGGGACCACACCCAGCAGTCCTCAGGGCTAGCTCCTGGCTCAGCACACAGGAATCAGTCCTCGTGGGACTTAGGGACTATCTGTATTGCCCAGGACCAGATCCGGGTCAGCCATGTATAAGGCAAGCGCCCTACCTCTACTCTCAGTTTGACCTCTGATTTTCCTTTTCTTCCTGAAGAATGCAAAAACCGTTATATTATCTAATGGTGAATAGAGATACTTGGCTTTTTCCGTGTTCTTTTCTTTCTCCCCAGTTCTGATGAAATACTTCATTATTATGTTGTTATTCTTTGGAATGCTTATTATCCAAAGAGAGTTAGTGTGTACACATCATGAAGACACAAATGTTGATAGATTTAAAAGCTCTTTAAGAGTTATATGTATCCTGAGGGAATATGTCTAAAGACCCAAATTCAATTCCTGGCACTGCATGGCCTCCCAAGCACCATTGGTCATGACCCTTGTGGCACCTGAACTATTAGAACTCCCCCTTCCAAAGAGTTTATGTGTCACTTTAATGCTTTCACAAATGGAATTTGTAAGTTTCCATGTGCCTCCTATAAGGTTTTTTTTTTAAACACACGTATATTGAAGTCATGGAATTTTATACATAGGTGATCTTTTTTTCTTTTCTAGAGTGAGTCTTTGGTGGTCTGTGATGTTGCTGAAGATTTAGTGGAAAAGCTGAGAAAGTTTCGTTTTCGCAGAGAAACGAACAATGCTGCCATTATAAGTAAGTTAACTGTGATTACTTCAGTTACATGGGCTTAGCTAATTTTATCTTCTAGCTATTGAATAAACCTGAATCTCTAGAATGTAATCTGCAACTGTTTAACTCCCCTTCCCTTTTAGATCATTGAAAAAAAAAAAAAAACCCTTTTCCAAGTTCTCAGCTGCCCCCATTGCTCTAGAGAATGACATTGGTTAGTAACCCATCCAACTTCATCCCTTAACTTCTTGGGAGACTTAATATAGCATGCCCATTCATCCTCCAATGAAAACCTTTGCCTAATCTAATGGTTTGACTTTTATCTTTGTAGTATTTTGGGAATTGTTTCAGTTCTAGACGTGAATTCTAGTTGCATGGAGTGTACTTTTAAGTGTCATCAATTATTGACAAGGGAAAGAATGATTTGCATAGTGCCTCTTCCACTGTGAGTCGTTTTGGTAATATTCAACATGTGGGTAGCATTTTAGAAAGAGAAAGGATGAGGGAGTGAAGATGTAAAACTGTAGATGGTGCCTAACAGTTCTATTTGGTGGGTGTGAATTAATGAAGTGGAATCAAGGCAATTTGTCATGAATTCTGGTTCTTTGTAAATTAAAGAAGTGTAGGCATATAGTTCTTATAGGTGAAAATATCTTGGTGCTATTTTGTAAAATATACAAAATATATTTTACAGGGCAAAGAGATCATAGTGTATTTCACGGGATTTATTATGAAATTAGTGCAAAAACTAAAAAGTGTGGCTTTTCAGAGTAATGGGAAAGAGTAGCGAAATAGATTATGTCAAAATGTGTTGATGTTGTTTTTGTATAATATCACATATATTAAGCTATAGTATATCATTATTTGGCAGTTCACTTTGTCAAACTTAGTTATACTGGAATCCTTCCTTACTCTGGAGACGTTAGTAATCTGCTACTGGTTGTATCCTTAGCCGTGGTCCACTTTAAACTTCTATCATGTTACATAGATCATTTAAGCACTCAACCCTCAGTTTTTGTTATTGGGCCACACCTGGCGGTGTTTAGGACTTAACTCCTGCCTCTGCACTCAGGAAACACTCCTGGCAGTGCTCAGGGAACTGCTGCATTTTGCCAGGGATCAAACCCCAGTTGACCGCATACAAGGCTTTTGCCTATCTGTTGTACTATTGCTCTGGCACCTCTTTTTTTTTTCTTTTTTTTCTTTCTTTTTTTTTTTTTTTAAAATCATAGGAAGTTGCATTTGAGCTACTAAGTTCTTGATGTGCACAGTAAAAGTAAGAAGTTGACATAAAATTCTAAATAAACACATCACGTGCTGGGAATTATTGGTAATGGCTTTGAAACTTCAGTTGAAAAGCAAAAGCTGGTTTATAGACTATAATTAAACTTTGAATTTTATGCTTACAATTCTGACGTTTCATTTTTTTCTTTTTTTCTTTCTTTTGCTCTTTGGGCCACACTTGTCATGCTCAGGGATGATTACTCCAGGCTCTGTGCTTATTCCTGGTAGAGTTTGGGGGACCATTTGGGATGCTGGGGATTGAGATCTGGTTGGCCACATGCAAGGCAAGAGCTCTACCCACTGTACTATTGTCCTGGCTCTGATGTTTTATTTTCTGTATCAAAAAATGACTATGACTCTGTGGGTTGGGTAGGTAAAGATTGTATTAGAATCACAGTGCTAATACTTTTTTTTTTTTTTTTTAGTGAAGATTGATAAGGATAAAAGCCTGGTGGTACTGGATGAAGAGCTTGAGGTTTGCTTGATGAACTTAATCACGATTTTATAGTTAAGCAATTATCATTGCTCACAAGATGCTAGCTATATTACCTGTACTTTGGAAATGAATCTGAATCTTTTAATGCCTGTTTATTAGGGATAAAAAGCATGTACTAATTATTATGTTCTAAATTATCTTGCTAAATTAGTAACCATCTTTAAAACATTAACAAAATCTAATCTAATAAGTGATAGAAGTTAGGCTATATATCCAATAAAAGTTAAATTAGCATTTTATCTTCTGGATTTCTTTGCTAGTAAGTTAAAAATGAAACCTTTTATCTTGAGTGTTTAGTTTGTCAAATTAAGTCACTTGCATAGAATGAAAAGAAATTGATGTTTTCTCTGAGGGGCAGACTTTTCTTATTCAGTATTTTCCTAATGACTAGAACATGAGCATAGTCTACTATGCCTCTTTAGTTGATAAATAAATCTACATTGAGTGGGTTCTTCTTGTGTTAAGGTTTTAATAACTTTTATTTTATGTACAACTGAGTAAGATAAAATGTTATGTTGTGGTATATGGTTATGACTCAGTGTCTACTAGTAGAATGGGTATTTAGTGTTGCTTAGAACTTGTTTTTCTTTTTGTTGCTAGGGCATTTCACCAGATGAACTTAAAGATGAACTACCTGAACGACAACCTCGATATCCTTTTCTTAATGTTTCCAAAAGATGAGTTTTCAGTAAGAGTCAGAATCTTGCAATAGCACAGCGGGTAGGGCATTTGCTTTGCACTCAGCCGACCCGGGTTTGATTCCAGTATCCCATATGGTCCCCTGAGCACCGCCGGGGTCATTCCTGAGCGCAGAGCAAGGAATAACCCCTGTGCATTGCCGGGTGTGACCCAAAAAGAGAAAAAAAAAAGAATCAGAATCTTATTTATGATGTATTGGTGGGTGGGGGGCAGTCACCTGGCACACTTGGTGATTCTCAGGGGTTACTCCTGGCTCTGAATGCAGAAATTACTCCTGGTAGTACTCAGGGGACCATATGGGACTTCGGAGATTGAACCTAGGTCGGATGCATGCTACTGACCCATTGTACCTTCTCTCTGATGTTCATTTTAAAGACATCTTACAAAATTTCTTTCTATACCATGACCATAACCAAATTAAAATAAAATAAGCATGCACACAGTTCCTGGCACTGGGGGAAAAATGTGTATACACACATATGCACATGCACACGCATACACACACATACAGGGAAAAAATGTATACACATTCACACACGCGCGCATGTACACACACATGCACACACATATTGAGCTAAGCGTTTCAGCGCAGGGGATTGAACCTAGGGTCTCATATACAAGACCAGTGTTCTACCACTGAACTTAACAGTATTTCTTGTCCCCAAATTAGATCCTTTTGAAAAATGGTATAATTGGGGCCAGAATGATAGAACAGTGGCTTGAGCACTTCCCTTGAGTAAGTCCTGAGCACCACATGTATATATACCTATACACAAACACACATACACATATTAGCAGTTGAGAAAATCTATGAAAAACAATATTTTTAATAATTTTTAAATTATAAAATGTGATTTTTAAAACTTAGGCAACCCTTTATAATTTTGTGCAGAAAGATAGCTGGTGAAGAGTGTCCTAATGATTGAGAAGGAAATTTACCTCTTGTTAATCTCACAGGTTTTGAGTTTCTTTTTTTTTTTTTTAGAACTTTGTTGGTTAGTACTTGTCTCTAAGCAGTACTTTTAGTTTCTTTAACTTGAGAAAAACCTTCATTGTGTATAGTTATAAATATCAACATGATGATGGAAGAGTTTCATATCCTCTGTGCTTTATTTTCTCTAGTCCTGTAGGTAAGTGAGTTTCTCTAAATAGTGTATATTTGGTTTTGAATTAAGTGTAATTTTTTTAATACTAGCAAGTGTTACACTTGTTTTAGAAATGAAAGTGTTGAATAAATTGGAGCCTGTATGCACACACTCACACATGGATGTATCACTGAAAAGAAATTCCTATAAAGCACCACCTCATAGAACTATCTTATTTCCTTCCAATAGAATCGTGGCAGAGTAATTAATTGTTAAGTCTAGTCATGAACACATTTTAAGGAATTTAAAATGTAATGACATTTTGAAATATCAAAAGTGCATTAAAAATTTTTGTTTATAAGTGTGTGAACTTTGTATACAATCATGATATGTATTTGTGTTTCTTTAAAATGGCAGTTACCAAAGATTTCATCTTGAGAATGAATAGTCCCAGCATTGCTTACATTGGATATTAAAATGGCTTATTGATATTTAAGGTATCCATTATCATTGGAACTCCCACTCCCACCACCATTCAAGCTCACAGACTTTACTATTTACTAAACTTTACTATTTGTATTGCTTACTTAGCACTTAAAATATACTACACTATATTTATAATTTAATCTATAAACAGACTAACTTTTTTTCAAGGACAAAAATTCCTGCCTTATTGACCCATCACTGTCAAAAGACCTGATATATGAGGGATCATAAAATAATCTTGATATTTAATACCAGGTTAAGATACTGCTGAAAAGTTTCAAATGTTTGCAAGGCTCTAAAAATCAAGATCTATAGAGATCTAATCTCGTTTAATTTACTGATCTTTAGATTTATTTGTAATTCAGCTATATCTCTTTGTGCAGGCAGTATGCATCAGGAGACTCAAAATGTAGCCATTCACATATTGACTAAACTTCCTATGAGCTTACTAGCAGGGGAAATATTAAATGTGTCTTTAAAAACTGAGTTAAGTACGGAGTAGAGAGCCCTGAGTAGCCCTGAGGACTTCTAGGTGTGGCCCCAATCGCTGTTCCTCCCTCTCTAACCTCACCTGCTACCCCCCCCCAAAAAAAAATCAAAAATACCTTAAGTGGAAACCCATCACTTCCTCAAATTTTGAGTCTCATTTTTATTCTAATCTCTTTTCCAGGATGTAAGCCTGAACAACAGATGATGTATGCTGGGAGTAAGAATAAGCTAGTCCAAACAGCTGAGCTAACCAAGGTGGTGTTTATATTTAGACTTACTTTTTAAGATGGTGTTTTCCCTTAGTATGTTGGGCAATTGTTAAAATAATCTGAAGAAATTAAGTATTTTTCTGCAGGTGAGTTATTTAAACTCGAGTAGTAAATTAGGCAAAGCTTTTTAATTAGTTGGAAATAAAATTACAGATGTCTTTTATTTTAAAAAATGTGGTTTTTGAGTGGTAGCTGTAAGTAGATTAGAAGAAATCACATTAAAAAATGTGGGTGGCCTTAGAACAGACACAAACCGTTCAATTTATTGAGAAGTCTTTGTCATCGGTAATGTAACTTCTGATAGATAAGTCGGTATTAGGTGCTTCTCTGAGCTCTTTTTTGTAGTCTGAATGAAGATTTTGAATGAGATTTCCTATTGTATAGTTAATTGTTAATTCTGAATCTAGTATTTAATTGCTATGATACTTTTAGTGTTTGTTGTATTAAGCTGGAACATTCTCATATGAGTTACTAACTTTAAGGGTTAATTGTGTCCCTGTGGGTTTTTATGGTATTTGTGAAGGCTACAGGTAAGAGGGGTACATGTTTTTAGACTTTTAACTTTCGCATGTTTGAGATGAAACAGTTTTATACAGTTTTAAAATAGAATATGAGGGGTCAGAGAGATAGTACAGAGATTATGGCATTTGCCTTGCATACTGCCAACTCTGGTTCGATCCCTGGCAAATGATTCTCCGAGCACTGCCAGGACTGCACCCTGAGTACAGAGTCAGGAGTAAGCAACTGCCAGATATGATCCCAAAGTATAATAACAATAATGATGATGGTGGAGTTCGTGCCCAATTCAATCAGCCTAATCAATGGCTGAATAAATAGCAATACTCCTATATTAAAATTTAAAAAAAAATAATGATGATGATTGGACTGGAGCGATAGCACAGCGGGTAGGGCGTTTGCCTTGCATGCGGTCGACCCGGGTTCAATTCCTCCATCCCTCTCGGAAAGCCTGGCAAGCTACCGAGAATATCCTGCCCGCAAGGCAGAGCCTGGCAAGCTCCCCGTGGCGTAGTGGATATGCCAAACACAGTAACAACAAGTCTCACAATGGAGAAGTTACTGGTGTGTGCTGTAGCAAATCAGAGAACAATGGGAGGACAGTGCTACAGTGATGATCATTATGACTGTAAATTTAAATAGAATATCACCACTAAAATGGTATTAAACAACACCTCCTTTCAGATTTCATTTTTAGGGCAGTGTCAGTGTTTTCCCCTGACGTGTTTAACCAACCAGGGCTTGATTAAGCACCCTTTGCTTTTTCCCCTTCACTCATGTTTGCTGTTGATACCACCAGCCTATAGAAACACACTTTTCCTCATTTGTACCATAGAACACCTGGAGTTGCTCTAAGGGGTTGGGTGGTTAACAACTAACAGCTTAATGTCTCTCTGCCTTGGGCATGCCCTGAATTGTTATTTTTATAAACTATCTTTATGACAGCCTTGTCATGTTGATAGTGTTTCTATTTTGAACAAGGGGAAACTAAAATTCGAAAGATGAATGATTTCTCTGTGGTAAATAATGGTAAATGCAGAGCTAGGATTCAGACTCACATCTGTTCTCAAATCCCGTCTTTTTTGCTGCATTTCATTATCTCCCTTATAACTCTAATACTGTCTGGATTTCGTGTCCTAATTCTTCCTTGGAGATTTATGACTGTGAGCTTCTAATCCATATCAAAATAAGCTATAGTTAGTGCTTTTTCCAACTGTGAAGCTTATGTACTTCCAGCTCCCGATTAGATTAGTTTTAGTTATGTATACGTAGGATATCATTTTTAGTAGGGAAAATTCACAAAACTTTTTTTTATAATATGTAGATTTATGCTTTAAGAGAGCTTTCGTTTTATGCCACCTTGATTGTTAGATTTCGGTTACTGAATTCCTTCCCCAGAGATGTCTATCTAATTTATAAAATATTGTCTAATTTCCACAGAGTAAGCCTTGAAAGTTTGAAAAGAGAATTTGATATACAGTATATTTCTTTTGTGAGGAAAATTGCCAAAGTGTGACCTCCTTTTCTTTTCTGTAGGTATTTGAAATAAGAAATACTGAAGACCTAACCGAAGAATGGTTACGTGAGAAACTTGGATTTTTCCACTAATGTGAACTTCTGTGTTTCTAAAGTATTTATGTATTAACCTGACCATACTGGAACCAGACATAAATACTTATTTATGCCTAAAAATGCACTGTTACTTACAGTTTGTTTCCTGCAGTAAAGAAAAAATTCTTCTTTTGTTCAAAGTTTGAACAAAGAGGAAATCATCTTCATAGTAATGAAACTTTGTAAAGTGTTTCCTTATATTTGTAATTGTTAGGTGGACTACTTCTCTCCAGGGACTTTTTGCACTCTTGTGACTAATTTCTATAACTTCTGGTTCAGAATTTGTTACTATTTGCAGACACCATTGGAAAGTGGGTATAGATTGTGTTGGATAACAGTTGCCTCCTTTTGACAAATACTGGATATTAATTTATATAAAATTAGCATATTATCATTTGTCAAATACTTTAAATTAATTTGGGGTAAAATACTTCCATGTGTGTCCCAGTTTTGAGCCATGAATGAAAACTGAGTAATCTGCATTACAAGTACCTTTTTATCAATTATACACCTCTTTTGACTTCCTGTATCTTTTTAATCAAGTCCAGAAATTTTTTTCTTAGATTACTCATTGTTAAGGCATGGGAATTATATTTCATAATAAAGTTTTAACTCTTACGTTTTCTTCTTATGGAGAATAGTATTAGTCTTAGACACGAAGGGTTGTAAGAATTAAGGATTTTATTCGTAGATCTGTCATTCTAGCTAATTTTGAATATAGGTTATTAATACTTTATTTAGAAAACACTTAATGTCATGTGAACAGTAGTTATTTTAAATATGTTAATACCGTGCCTTTGATTTGTTAGCTTTAATGTTAATTTAAGACTTTTACACTGCCAGTATTCCAGATTTGGTGAAATTAATACTTTTATAAAGGGTCCAAATAAAACAATTTTCTAATATGTGTATCTGAAATTTGTAATAAAATCAGCTTTCTATTTTAAAAATTCCAAATATCTTGCACTGATGAATTTCTGGAAGTTGAGAGATACAATTTTGAATATATTTGTGATGAAACCTTGGCCATAGTTAATAAAAATACATCAGTAGAAATTGCATTTGATATCTTAAACATAAAGATATTCTTAACTGGACACTTGTTAAAGTGTTAGCATTTTTCGCATAAATCAAGGACTGGTATATACATCCTGTGTTTAAAGTACATACATATGTTCATTTGTCAAAATGTCTAAGACTCTAAAGAAAACTAAATTTTGGAGAGTGGCTTTTGTTTTATTTTGGCTTTTGTTTATGGACCACACCTGGCAATGCTCTGAACTCAGGAATCACTCCTGGCAGTGCTTGGGGGACCATATGAGGTGCTAGGGATTGAACCTGAGTTGGTTATTTGCAAGGCAAATGCCTTACCTGCTGTACGATCTCTTCAGCCAAAAGGAGAGTGTTTTCTTACATTGCCTCTCAATAATTTCAACACAAGCATAGGATTTTTCTTAATGTTGACATATTTTAAGTCGTGTTCTTTGCATTTTTGAAGGTTTCTTATGCCAACTTTAGTAAGGGGGTAAAGATAGTTGGAATTTTTATTAAATTGAATAGAGCCATTACTGTTCCCCAGCACTGTTTGGCTACACAAATTCAAAATAGGAAGTAATAGGAAGTTAGTTGGAGATGAGGAAGTGCTTGTGTGGGTGTTTGTTTTGGTTAGGGGATGGGAAGGATTCTTTATTCCAGTTTCCAGAGAGTGAGAGAGAACTTCACCCAGGAAGTTTAAGCATTCTTTATACAACTATTTTGATAAGGATAATAATGCTTACAATTCTGCCAAAAAACAGATGTAACCCAAGTAACTGGAGAGTGTTTCTAATGTTTTTGAACGAAGAAATTGGGATTTTGTTTCACCTGGTTTGCAGCAATAAGAGAAAATAGCCAGTGCTACAAGAATGTATTTTTTAATGAGGTTCCTTGTTTTGTCTTGCATGTATAAGTATTTTCTTTTAAATGTGTAAGTCTTCCATCTTGACATACACCAAACTCTTAGCCCCCCTGTTCTTTAACAGAGGGAAGAAGAGCTGTGAAAAGCCAAGCTGTTTTGAGCTTGTCTGACTCTTCTACTGGTTTTGCAAGACAATAGATTGAGGCTAAGGGATTTGTCAAACATTTTTCACTCCCTCTATTTTAGGGGAAGTTTTACAGATCCCTACTCTAGAGTGTTCTCAGGATTTTATAGAAATTTTCCAACCAACTTTTGCATTGTTATTTTCAAATATATTTCCTCTTCAGTCTTTTCTTGCCTTCTCAAATAGTAACTCCGGATTTTACAATTCCAAATTTTACATTCCGTATCTTTCTGGTACAGCCATTCCCGTTTCATCTTAAATTAATCTTTCCTTTTTGGCTGCAGCTATTGTCCTGGGAACCTCTTTTATACTTTTAGGTCACCATTAGTTTTGTAGTTGTTGGCCTTGCATAAGTTTGGCCTAGCATCTAATATGGTCAAAATAGAACCAACAGATAATCACAGTATGTTTTTAGTATGTTTGTTTTGTGGCAGTATAAATGACATGAAGAAAACTGTTCTCAGGTTACTACGCTGAAATTCCAAAATGTCAGAGTTTTGAATAATACTTTGTTTTAATATTGAAACAGGTATGTTAGGAAGAAAGCTGGTTGACTGTTATTGTTTGACATTCAAAATAAATGTTCAAACTGTCTATTTCTAAAAAAGTTTACTAAATGCCCAGTGGAGTTAAATATATACTTGTTTAAGCTGATGTAGTTAAAAAAAAATTTTTTTTGCCATTACTCAATAATGTTTGTTGCAAAATGTCTCTCATCACTTTTCTCTCCCTTTTTGTCTCCTATTTTTAGGAGTCAAATGTAGCCATAAACTGTATCTTTGTCTGCTACTTTAACTAAAAAAAAAAATTCAATTGGAGGAGTTCATTGCCAAATTAAATTTGGCTGCCTTTATTCCCCATCCTTATAGGCAGTGAAGAAGGTGTACTTAAAATAACATTTGGACTGCTTTTAAAGCCCAAGCAATGTCATTAATCTTAATATGAACTGGTGATGATAAATAGATATTTTCATGAGTTTAATTGCTGGATACTTGGTGGAAGTAGAGTAACTCATTCTGTCAATTCAAATATTCTTGGTACAATTGCTTTCCTTGTTTTATAAACTGATAGTACTGGAATCTACAGAATATGAGCCTTTGCAACATATGTGAAGAAGTGTCTCAAACATTTCTGGACAAGTCTGACTTTGTATTTCTGGAAGAATGTAAATCTAGGCTACTTAACATCAGTGGTCCCAAGTGGAATATTCTTGAGAAATTTGTTTCCTATTATGTCATTTGACATTTCAATACAGTGATTGATTATGTTTCTGTAATATTTAAAACAACCACAAGGTTGTCATAGAAACTGTTTTCCTTTTTTTTTAATGTAGTTTGTACACATATAATTACTTGAATATCATTTGAGATCACCAACAGACTAGGGAAGTTCCCACTGGTTTAGATGGTCCAATGTTAACTCATTCAGGAGGCTTGAAACATTAATGGTTTAGTCTTGTGAATATTAACAATTCCCTGTCATCGTTTAACAAAGTCAGCAGCTGGCACAACTTCTTAAGCTGTGGTTTCAGTCTCTGCTAGTTCATATTGCATGTTTATTTTGGACAGTCTTCTGTTAAGCATGGTGCTTGTACTGGTTTAAATAAAATGTTAACATGAAAGACTTCTAATTTTTTTGTTTTTCACTCGACTCTTCACTTTGGTTATATGCCTGGCCTAATTGTGGTGTTTGTGTGATGCACTTTGTCTCCAAAAATTTAGTGGCAAAATACACAAGAATCAAGCCACGGGAGAGTAGAAGAATACATTTTCTTTGTGTATGAAGCCTTGGGTTCCATCTGTGACACTAAACCAGTAAATAAAGGGAAATCAATGGGACTCACTTGGCATTATAGGATTAGGGAAGAAAAATAAAAAGATAACAAAAAAAGTTGTGTTGAAATGATTTGTCTGTAGGGCCAGAGGCTGTTGCTTAAAATGATGAATACTTATTTTCAAAGGAAAAAGTAGAAGATAGAGGGACTTTACAGTTTCTAGGAAATTAAATTAAAGGCCCTTTTAGTGAATATAGTCTGTCACTATTAAACATCCATTGAAGATCAATCCTTGAGTATAGTGGTGTATTTTAGTCCATCAATAAACTTTACATGTCACCAATACTTAGAACATAGTTTTTAATTTTCCATGTACTTGTGATTGAGTATGTAGCAGTACATAGTCTTGATATGTTTATGGGTGTGCAAAGTTTATCTTCAGGAATCTCAAAAGAGTTGAACAGAATGGAAGTATGTCTCCCTTGTTTCCTAATTTTGGCCGTTTAGCTGTTCAAAGTTAGGGGCTTAATATTTTTTATTCCCTTGTTGTCTTTTAGATCTCACTTTCAGCCACAAAAAGCATTTGTAACCACTTTACCTCACAGCCTGTATTTTTGGGTTCTTGTTTGTGTGAGGGCATGCCCTGAATGGATATTATCCTTGGACATTCTATTTTTAGTTATCTTGGGGAACCAATTAAACATTTTTGCTGAGCTTCTGGGAGTTTCCACATAGTTCTCTTATCCTTGAGATCTATCCCTAGGCTACAGAAAAAATTGCTACTGAGTTAAGTAACCATTCTTTTCAATTTTAGGGAAAAAGCAAAATGCCTAGGTTGTGTCCAAACACACACACACATACACACACACCTTTTCAATTTTAGGGAAGAAGCAGAATGCCTAGGTTGTGTCCAAACACACACACACACACGTGCGCGTGCGCGAACCCCCCTATAGTTCGTGTGTGTGTGTGTGTGTGTGTGTGTGTATGTGTGTGAATGTGTTGGGGGTAGGGTTGGGAATGAGAAAGAGACTGCTGATAACTATTACCCACACACACACACAATTACAGATTTTAATACCCAGGAATGTAAGGCCCTTCCTAGCTTGGCCAAGCCCAAATGCCTTTCTCCTTTGTTAGGAAGAAATGTCTCAGCATGCTGATGGGGCAAGCTGCTTTTAGGCAGCTGTGATTTGGCCCATGTGGCTGTACATTCCTGTCTTCATTCCTCTTTCCACACTTGACACTGGGTCTCTCCCTGCCAGCCCCAGCTCATTGACGCTAAGGGTATCCACGCTTCTGTTATTGCCTCCGTATCAGACTGAGCTGGGCTAGTCTGTAATGTACATTTACAGCTCAATTTCTGACTTTGCAAAAATGATTTCATTCTCCTGAGATGAGGCAGCTAACAGTATATAGTGTCCTTGGAAGAATGCCATTAAGTGAGGAGGCCATCTGCAACCTATAGAGCAAGATAGAAGAGGCCGGTCTGAGGGTGCCAAATGAAGCAGGCAGGTAGAGAGACCTTTTAAAAACAGCAGCCTCAGGGCCAGAGAGAATGAGCACATACTTTGCATACAGTAAGTCTGAATTTGATCCCTGCACCCCATGACCCCCTGAACACTGCCAGGACAGACTGAACTCTGTTAGATGTGCCCAACCCCCAAAATTATGGAAGTATGCTCACTATTTCAGGTAATAAGAATTTCGGGGGCTGGAGCCATAGCACAGCAGGTAAATGTTTCCCTTGCACGTGGACAACCCCAGTTCGATTCCCAGCATCCCATAGAGTGCCCCAAACACTGCCAGGAGTAGTTCTTGAGTGCAGAGCCAGGAGTAACCCCTGTGCATTGCCAGGTGTGACCCAAATAGCAAAAAAAAAAAAAAAGGCAAAAAGAATTTCAATGTATTTTAATGTCAACTTGACAACTTTAAAAAAATTTCTTGAATCCATAAGGTACATTGAAGACAAAGTCATGCCACTGGTCAAGCAAGTGAAAACAGAGATAGACAAATGGGACTATCTTAAACTAAGAAGCTTCTGCACCTCAAAAGAAACAGTGACCAAAATACAAAGACAGTCTACAGAATGGGAAAGGATATTCGCCCAATACCCATCTTACAATGGGCTGATAATCAAGGATATACAAAGCACTGGTTGAACTCCACAAGAAGAAAATATCCAACCCCATCAAAAAATGGGGCAACAAAATGAACAGAAACTTTCTCAAAGAAATCCGAATGGCAAAAAAGCACATGAAAAAATGCTCTACATCATTAATCATCAAGGAGATGCAGATCAAAACCACAATGAGATATCATCTCACACACAGAGACTCGCCGACATCCAAAAGAACAAAAGCAACTGGTGTTGGTGCGGATGTGGCGAGAAAGGGACCCTACTTCACTGCTGGTGGGAATGCCAACTGGTTCAGCCCTTTTGGAAAACAGTATGGATGATTCTCAATAAATTAGTAATTGAGCTCCCATTTGACCCAGCAATACCATTCCTGGGAATATATCCCAGAGATGCAAAAAAGTATAGTCGAAGTGACATCTGCAATTGTTTGTTCATTGCAGCACTCTTTACAGTAGCCAGAATCTGGAAAAAACCTGAGTGCCCAAGAACAGATGACTGGTTAAAGAAACTTTGGTACATCTACATAATGGAGTACTATGTAGCTGTTAGAAAAGATGAAGTCAGGGGCTGGAGCAATAGTACAGCGGGTAGGGCTTTTGCCTTGCACGCAGCCAACCTGAGTTCGATTCCCAGCATCCCATATGGTTCCCCTGAGTGCCGCCAGGAGTAATTCCTGAGAGCAGAGCCAGGAATAACCCCTGTGCATTGCCAGGTGTGACCTAAAAAGAAAAAAAAAGATGAAGTCATGAAATTTACATACAAGTGGTACTACATGGAAAGTATCATGCTAAGCGAAATGAGTCAGAAAGAGAGGGACAGACATAGAAAGATTGCATTCATCTGGGGAATATGAAGTAACAAAATAGGAGACTAACACCCAAGAATAGCTGAGATAAGTACCAGGAGGTTTACTCCATGGCTTGAAGGCCAGCCGCATATGCTAGGGGGAAAGGCAGCTCAGATAGAGAAGGGAGCACCAAATAAAGGTTGTTGGGAGGATCCTCCCAGAATGGGAGATGCATGCTAAAAGTAGACTACAGACCGAACATGATTGCCACTCAATTCCTCTTTTGCAAACCACAGCACCCAAAAGGAGAGAGAGAACAAAAGGGAATGCCCTGCCACAGAGGCAGGGTGGGATGGGAGAGTTGGGGGGTGGGAAGGATACTGGGATCAGTGGTGGTGGAGAATGGTACTGATGGAGGGATGGGTACTCGATCATTGTATAACTGAAACCCAAGCACAAAAATTTGTAAGTCTACAACTGTACCTCATGGTGTTTCACTAATAAAAAAATTTTTTTTCTTCCATGCCCCTTTATCCTCATATCATTCAAGTATGCTTCAGGCTGGGAAATCCACTGTAGAAATGAGGTATATTCCAGTGTCCCCCCCCCCCCCCCCCAGTGTGTTGGTTCTGGCTTCTTTGGGATTTGGAGGAAGAGATGCAATTTAAGGAAACAAGTCTCATTAAACTGATGTCAGAGAATCTGGGGTTCCAGCCATCTGGGTGTGGCTAATGTCTAATACCAACCTTCCTCCCTCCAAGGTTCCTTCGGTGGGTTCCTTGCTAATTTTCCCCACTGGGAACTTTGCAGGTCATTTGACTTGAGTCGTGTCTTTGATAGCCACTGGCTTTAGCAAGCACCCTTTCTGACTCCTGTTCTCCATTCAAGTCACCTTGCCCCTCCAGTCCCCTTGCTCAGCTCCTCCCCAGAATCCAGATTTCGCCCACAGGAAGCATGAGTCTTTGCCTTGTTACCATTAGAGGGTATAGCTTGCTCGCTCTGCCATCAGGATCAGCTCTTAGATCTGTTTTTATTTGATCATTTTTGGGTTTTTGTTGTTGTTGTTGTTGTTTGTTTTTTGGACCAAATATGGTAGTGCTAAGAACTTCTAGCATTGTGTTCAGGGATCACTCCTGGTGGGGCTTGACGGACCATATGGATGCTGGGGATTGAACCTGGGTCAGCTGCATGCCAGGCAAGTGCCATTCCTGCTATACTATTGCTGTGGCTCCTCTCAGCTTTGATTTGTCTAATTTTCCCTGCCCACTACAATATCTGAGTTTTGCTAGGATTATATTTCTCAAACACACCAAACTCAGGTTTTCTTCCTAGCTGTTACTTCTTTCTGGGATGAGTACCCTCTTTCTGTTCCACCATTTCCTTTCTTCTGACTGAAGTTTGGGGTGGGAGGAGTGAGTTTGGGTCACATACAGCTGAGCTGTTCTCTGTGTTTAATCCTGGTTTTGCATCCAGGGATCACTCCTGACAGACTCGGGGGACCATATAGGTTGCTGGGGGAATCAAAACACAAATAATTCAAGCATCCTACTCATTGTAGTATCTCTCTTTGACCCCCTGAACTGATCTTAAGTGTTAAAACTTTCCCCCATCATCCATTCTAAGGAAGCAACACAACAAATTACATTTGTTCTAATTCTCTGCATAGCACCACTATCTGATATTTTGTCTTATTTTGTGATGGGTCTGATTAAGAACTCTGAATTGAAATAATAATTTTTTGGTGTTTGTTTTTCCTCCTTCAAGAATAGGTACTCCTTAAACATGATGGCTACTTAATACCCTACTGCAAATCACAACACCCAAAAGGAGAGAGAACAAAAGGGAATGCCCTGCCACAGAGGCGGGGTGCGGCGGAGGGGATGGGGCAGGGGTGGTGGGAGAGATGCTGGGACCATTGGTA